GGTAAAGGGCCTTTTGTACAACCCGGCTTTCTGAAAGAGTGCTTCTTACAACGTAGATCGTCACTCAAGGCTCCACAAGGCGGGAGGCAGCCCGTGAGCACAAGGCTTTCCAGGAGGCATCGGGGAAAGCCTGTTACACTCAGAACCGGAGACCTGGCGCGACCTCGCCTCTCTCAGCCTCAGTAACACGTAAATCTGAGAAATGGCAATAATTGCAGCTTCCCAGAGTGCATAGAGGACCGTGAGCCTTATTGTTATTGTTTTTCTGGCTCCCCTTGTATCTCCGTACCTCTCGGTGCTGTGCTTGACTCATATCATAGTGGACACTAATCAATATTTGATGAATGTGCGAGTTAACTGAAATAACAAACGTGAGAGGGCTTTGCAAACAGCAGAGCAGGGCCTCAGCAAAAGATCTTTGCTTCTCAGCACGCGTACTCTGTGCTTCGCAAACAGCCTGCCTTAAGTGTCTTCTCCCCTTGAAACTGACCCTTCCCCCCGTAATGGGACTCAAAGGGTCAGCCCATCTGACGGAGCGTCTCTGGACTGGCCAGCTGAGTGATAGCTGTGCCGACAACACTGGCGAGATACGCAGTTGCCTAAGAGCTCAGAGGTGGCCTCACCCTCCAAGGGCTTGGCCTCTCGACCCCAGCCCCTGCTGACACGCATGCACCTGCAGCCCTTCTCTCGCTCCAGGGCGGGCAGACTCCCTGAGCTCCTTTGCTGTCCTCGTTGGCACTGGCAAGGGTGGGAGGCACGCCGAGGAAGGGGCATGGCAGGCCTCTGCTGGGACTCCTAGCGCGGAAGCAGGGCCACTAATTGCATCCCCTCTGTGGTTTCTCGGGACGGTAGAGACAATCGAGTGCTCCTTTGTGGGACATTGTTTGTATCTCCAACCTCCTACCCACAGCTTCCCGTCCATGCCCATGCCAGGAGAGAACAGGTCTTCTCTCCGTGTTCTCTCTCCCAGACAAAATGACTCATCCATGTTGCCATGACCCTCAAGGATCGTGGGCCGGTGGGAGTGGGAGGGACTTTTAACAGGCGTTGGTTGACGGGACTGGCGTCCTCAGAACAAGTGAGGAGAGACAGGTGCTTTCTCGTCCACCAGTCCTCCCCGCAGGTGCAGCTGAGGGCGCAGCGGTAGGAGCTCCGGCTGAGGAGGAGGAGCCTGTGTTCCGGACCTTCCACGTGGGGACGCGGGGCCTGCCACCCATCACTCTGAGCTTCAGAAACCAGGGTGGCGCCAGCATGACCTCTCAGGGTCATTGTGATCATGAAAATGGATGATGATGCTTCAAGTGGCATAAAGTTGTTCACACCTGGTATTACTCACACAGAGTGAGCGCACCAGGAAGGACCTGCAGAGCCCTCACCATGTGCGGCACTTCCCCTAATGCAGCCCCCACAACAGCCCTCCCTACAGGATTGGGTGGTTTTGCCGGTTTTATGGGTGAGGAATCGGAGGCTCCGAAGGGTAAAGAACTTGCCCAGAGCCACGCAGCTAACGTGTGTTCGAGCCTGCACTTAAGTCCAGGCCCACTTCCGTCTCCGCCAGCTCGCGATGCTTCTCTCCCGCATGCCGTTGCGTTGTCTCTTAAAATTCTTGCAGACTCCTCTGGCCTTCACCACCTGTACCCACCCTCTCACCGGAACCCTTCGTGCTAGAACTCTTGCTGGAGTTTCTTGTTTGCTTACTGCTTGGGCTTCGGATGTTCTTGGCCCTGCTGTCAGCTTACCTGCCCTGACCTCTAAGCACGGGGCGCACCAACACTGACCGAGCACCTTCCTGGAAGCAGGCACCTGGGCTTGTGAATCGAGGGGAAAAGCCATTCCCTTCCCTTCCCCGGGCTCTGGGACGTCTCTGCCCATACAAAAGCCATCGCCTCAGGCCTGACTGTCCGGGGAGGAGGAGCGCCCACATTTCATCGTTGATCCCCCCCTCTGGAAATCACTAGGCATGCTTTCCCAGGCAGACCCTTCAGATAAACAACAATGCTTCAGATCTTGAACTTGGCAGCTAGGAGTGGGGCAGCGGTAGAGAGCATCGACTCCTGGCAGGAACCTTGCTTAACCTCTTCCCTCCTTGGAGACAAAGAGTTATTCGCTCCACTTCAGAGATGGGAAAAGGAGATAGACGGACTTGCCTCACTTGGCTTAGTGAGTGGGTCATGGAAGGGGAAACTTATGTCATCAGTCCCTGTGTGTCCTTTGGCACCAGGCACCTCTGGGTGGTTGCTATGCTGGCTGAGCATTGGCTGTGGGCTGGGCATAGGGCGGGCCCTTGGAGGGCTGTCACTCAGAGTACCCCACCGCCTGGCGCCTCGCTCCCAGACCCATGTCTTGACCCTACCTGATGGTCAGAGAAGGTGCTACAGGGCAACTCCTCACTCGGGGTTCCTACCTGAAAAGCTGGTCCCGGGGCACCCACTCCCCAGGTGGGTCTCTTCTTGGGGAGATGCATTCACAGATGCTACCAGCTCCCCCAGCATCAGGCATCTCCCCTACAATTAGGCAAGAAATAAATCAAAGCCCAGTGTGGCTGATGACATTCAGGAGCCAACGGTGACCCCTGCCACACACACACATCCCAGCGGGCTGGCTGCGGCCTTTGTCTGGGCAGGAGAGCTCGGGACTATCTGGCCCTCTTTGCTGATGTATGGAGTCACTGACTGTCGGGGTGTTTACGAACGGTTATCACCTCAATGCTGCGGCCATTATCAGAGGCAGGGCCTTATCAGAGGCAGGGCCGCCGTGGGGCCCCCGCGCTCGCACCCTCTCTATTACCACCTGTCATTGGCAGGGAGTGTGCGCTGACGCTGCCCAGTCCCGGCTGCCGCGGGGAGATAGTTTCTGACGGCTGATCAAAGAGGAGCAGCAAGGCCTGATAAAGAGTGTGCGTCGCGTGTACTTTTAACTCGGGGAACATTGGCATTTGCATTTTCCCCCCATCTTCCTGGTGCTGGCAGGAACCGAGCCCAATAAATGCCGTGGATTCAGTTACCTAATCGCCGGGGAAATGGCATGTGCTTAAAGCAACAGAGCAGGACTGTAATCTCTTTCCAAGAGAGAGTGGATGAAATAAGCTTTCACAGAAGACTCGCCGTATAATAAAGCAGAATAATTTAAATGGGGACTTTGAAGTGAGCTTGCGTGTAGAAGCTGACCCAGGTCCTCGGTAGAGCACCGTGTACGTTTTGGAATGTGGGAGCAGCTTCAGATTAAGGGGAGATCTTTGCTGAAGGTGCTGTCACCCAACTCTTGCTGGCATCCCCCAAATGGGTCCCCAGGTGTGCTCAGCCTTTGGTGGCTGGGAGGCAATGGCCACGGAGCAGAATGAGTTCCCCAAACATCAGAGATCTCAGTTCTTTTATTTATATTTCTCAATTACAGTTTACATTCAGTAGCATTTTGTATTAGTGTCAGGTACACAGCATAGTGATTAGACAATCATATACTTTATTTTTATTTATTTATTTACTAGAGACCCGGTGCACAAAATTCATGCACGGATAGGATCGCTATGCCTGGCAAGTGATCAGGGCTGATCTGTGGGGCCCCCGCTGGCACCTGCCTTGGCTAGCCTGGCACCACCGCTCACCAGCCCTGCCCCCTGCCTCCACTGCCAGTCACCTCCCTCTGCAGGGTGACTGGCAGGGAAATGGGGAAGGGGGGCCCCGCTGGCACCCGCCTTGTCTGGCCTGGGGCCTGCGGGAGAGGGCAGCTCCTGCGTTGAGCATCTTCCCCCTGGTGGTCAGTGCAAGTCATAGCGACCGGTCATTCTGCCAGTTCTGCTGTTCAGTCGATTTGCATATTAGGCTTTTATTATATAGGGTATCTTTATTTTAATTTATCTGTATTGTTGAAAGTATTACGGATGTCTCCTTTGTTTGTTTGTTTTTCCCACTGACCCCCTCCACCTCGCCCCTGCCCCTCCGGGCTTCATCACTCCACTGTCTGTGTCCATGGGCTGTTTGTATATGTGTATAAGTTCTCCAGTTAATCACTCCCCACCACACATCCCACCCTCATCTTCCCTCTGAAATTTGTCCATCTGTTCCAGGCTTCTATTTCTCTACATCTATTTTGTTCTCATCATTAGATTCCATATATGAGTAAGATCATGTGATAAAGACAATCATATCCTTTACCCAGTGTTCCCCCTGATATTTCCAGGACCCACCTGGCACCACATGTAGTTATTACATGGTAATAACAGAGATCTGAGTTCTTGAACCAGGTCGGCCACAAACGTGCTGTTGGATTTGGGGCCATAACTTCTCTGAAGTTCAAATGTAAAATGAGGAGGTGTGGTATGGGATATAGTGGTTTAGAAAGTTTAAGTTTACACTTTATAACGCCTGTTTTAAATGAATCTTAAGGGAAGCTGTATTGTATCAAACAGAGACAAGTAGAGGTGTTTTGGTTGAACCTGGGAAGGAGGTTCGCTGCCCTTGACCTAGTCCCTAGGCCTGGCCAACGATCAGGGCTGATCTGTGGGACCCCCCTAGTCCCTGAAGCCGTTCCTGGAGACTTCAGAAGGACCCTGTCGCTGCTCAGAAAACAGTTGAAAAACCACTCACCCAGTGACATCATAGATATCATTTCCTGGAGGTCTACACTTTGACCAGTGGCATAGATGCTGTTTTCTGTCCTACACATTCATGGTGTGTGTGTGTGTGTGTGTGTGTGTGTGTTAATTAATTTTGAGAGAGAAGCATTGACTCATTGTTGATGCACTTATTGATGCATTCATTGGTTGGTTCTTGTATGTGCCCTGACTGGGGATCGAACCTGCGACCTTGATGTATCAGGTCGATGCTCTAATCAACCCAGCTACCTGTCCAGGCCCCACGTTCATGGTTGGTAGTGCTCTCTCCTTCGTCTGTCCTGGAGAAGAGCTAACTGGCCCCTGGACAGGGCAGGGAGTTGGTGGTGGGTAGACAAATAGAAGGGGCTCTGCCAGCATGGGCTCATGTGCCATGTCCCGTGTGCTGCAGGTACCTTTGACCGGAGCGTGACCCTGCTGGAGGTGTGTGGGAGCTGGCCCGAGGGCTTCGGGCTGCGGCACATGTCCTCCATGGAGCACACGGAGGAGGGCCTGCGGGAGCGCCTCGCCGACGCCATGGCCGAGTCGCCCAGCCGGGACGTGGTGGGATCCGGAACAGGTAACGTGGCATCATGCTCCTCGCCGGACTTGGTCACGCCTGGCACCTGCTGGTGTGGAGCTTCTTTGGCGGGAGAGGGTGTGTGTGTGTTTTAACTGCTTGTTTCTTCAGTTAGCTCTCTGATTGCTGCCCCTAGGGAAGCTTCCGGGGATGGGAAACCCTGTGGAAAGGGGAGTTCCCGGTGGCACGGACCCGTCCTCGGTGGAATAATTCATATAAAAAATTGTCGTGAACATAGTATTCTGTAAGTGGCTCCCAGAAGGGCACCTTCTCCATGGGAAGGGACCACATTGGCGTCTCGGAGGTTTTCAGCAGCCCTTCGGCACTGGGCGCTTAGGCCGCACCCCTGCTCCTGCCTCCTGGAGGCTTCCCAGAATGGCAGGTATCGGGGGCCTGCCACCTCGGGAGGTGGGGGGGGGGGAGCAGGCATGAAGCAGGCAGGGATGGTTTGAGCCCGCCCGGCAGTTTTCTCTTATGCTGCCTTTCACCCTTGTCTTGCCTCTGAGAGAGCCCAGCAACAGGCCCGGGGTGGCTTCCCGCATCTGTAGAGCAGGCAGACGACATCCTTAGGTGATGGGTGAGCGCTGCCCCAGCAAGCAGGCATACACATGCACGCACACACACGGGCACGTGCACACACAGAGAGAGCACGCACTTAGGAAAGACCTCCATCTCCACACAGTCACAGGACAGCCTGCCCTCTTTGTCCAAAGCACCTCCTCATTCTGGGCATCTGTGCTGTTTGTGGCTGTGGTAGCCCCGCCTTTATGCCTGAAAAAGACTGTCCCCCAGGCTGCTTCCCAGCTTCCTGAGCTCAGCGGGAACGCATACAGGGTCGCGCAGTCCTCCCGCTCCTGCTTTCGTTTACTGTGAACTGCCCCGTCCCTGCTCCCCACGCTCCCTGGAGAGAGGATCCCAGAGAGAAGGAACTTACAACCCTGGGGCAGGGACCAGGACCAGCGAGGTATGGAGGGTCCAAGCACTTGGGTAGGGCTTGAAATGCCTAACGAACGTTATCCCACAGCCTCACTTCCCGGCGGATCCTCCGGGGCATTTGGGTACCGGAGGGTCAGCAGTTAAGCTTTTCCCACTCTTCTTCCCCCTCCCGTTTAGTCCCTGTGTTCCTGCACGAGGAGGAAAGAGACACTGCACTCAGCCCTCTCCCCACAGTGCTAGCGTCGTCCTGCCCATAGTGCTTGTATACTAATTGGCAAAGGAGCAGGATGGAGGCAAGAGAGAGAGAGAAGCGGCTTAGCTAGAGGCAGCAAGTACCTGCTCAGGCCAGGCAGCCGGCCAGCCGTCTCTGAGGCCCAACCTCCTTCCACACCCCTTCGCCCCGAGAAGGCGAGGACGCTGCCACGCCACGTCACGTCCATTCCCTCGTGCAGGTCCAGATACGTGCACACCCTCTGGCTCACCCCACCAAGAGCTCCCAGCTGTGGCAGCTGCTCATCGTGCCCTTGTTCTCGCACCTGGGCCCACAGGTGAGGGGCAGCTCTGCTATTGCTGGGGCTTTCACCCCATTTTCCTGGAAAGTTGGCCGAAGCCAGGAGCACTTTCCCCTTCTGAACCTCGCTCGGAGCACAGCCTTTCCCCTGAAGCTCTGGGGCCCTGGCCGGCCCCAGTTCACATAAACCAGGGCCTGGTGTCCCCAGGGTCACTCCCGGAGCTGCCCTTCCAGGGGCTGGAGCCGTTGTGGGTCGGCTTCCTCCGAAGCCCCTTGGAGCACCTGAGAGCCAGCCAGCGGATCGGCGGTGCCTGCACTCGGGGCTGGGACTTCAGCCTGGCGCAGACTGTCAGTAACTGAGCAAAACTGGCAGCGAGCCATCTGCCAGACAGCTGGGGGCCCTGGGGAGACTCTGTGGCCTTAAGCAGGTTCATGAAATTAAAAAAAGAAATGAGAGAGGAAATTAAAACGGAATGACCCAGGGGTCAAAAAAATAGGAGACGCCCTTTTAAGGCAGAGGGACTGCATGTCCCGCCCCAGCGGCCACAAAGGGGATCTGTCGGGCCTTCTTGGGCCATGGAAGGTGCGCTTTATTTCCCAAACACTCTGCCGCGGCGTGCAGGGCCAGCAAGTAAAGCAGAGAGGACGGAAGTTAGCCCGGTTCCCTCTGCTGTTGCTGAGAATCACCTTTCACGGTTTAGAGCGGCAGACAAAGCATGGCCGGTGGGGCAGCCCAGCCTGGACGGGGCAGCGAGCACGCCCATGCCCGTCAGCCTGCTGCCCAGAGAGAGCCGGGGAAATACAGTGCCCTGTGGGGTGGGAATTTCTGGCAAGTCATCCTTGGCCGTAGCAGCCTCTCTCTCTCCCCCCCATAACCCTGCTTCTGGGGGGGGGGGGCGCATAAGATAGGTGACAGCCAGTGTTTACCTGTCAGGCACCGGAGAGGGTGGTTTTAGTGCAGCCACCGGCCTGCTGGCCTCTTACCAGGGTTGCATGGAGCTGCTCTCGTGACCCCTGACCCTGCAGCCCAGAACGCCCTGCTCTTCTACAGGTTTAGCTGGTGACTCGCTGGTAGAGGTTTCGCACCCAGCTCTCTGCCGGGAGGCGGGAAAAGCCCTCATTTGTAACATTTGGGGATTGCCGTCGTGTAAAAACTCTATGGCCAATTTCAAGCTATCAACATGTCAGTCGTCTAGCAGAATTCCTGAGAAGGTGACATCAGCTTATTGGTTTATGAATTACCCCAGCACCCCGCCGCCGGTGGGCTGTCCCATAGTGCAACTCGGCTCTCCCCCGCAGAACAGCAGAGCCTTTCCAAACCTTACTACGCAGCCTGGTCCACGACCCAGCAGCACCACCTGCACCCAGTTGCTGATCAGAAATGCGGAATCCCAGACCCCACATCGCCCCGCTGGGTCAGCACCCGCATTTAACACGCCCTTGATGCACGTTCAGCTGTGAGAAAGTCCGTGTCAAAACCCGGCGAACCTCTGAGGCAGTGTGAGCTCTGGCCTCCGTGACGGCTGCTGACCACTGAGTCTAATTAGGTCACATGTGCGACTTGCCAGTCCGGCTCTACAATAACCGGCTGGACTGCTTTCTTGCTAATATCATTACCTCCCCCCCAACCCCTCACCCCGCCACCCCTGTTTACGCTTCCCTTGTCCCCAATCAGCAGAATTCCAAATTGAGGTCAAACTCTGCTCTCACTGCGGATGCTGAGGGAAAATCACAGACTGCTGCCCCTGCACATGGGTGGCCTCCCCTGTCCAGTGAGCCTGGCAGTCCTGCACGTCCCTACCACCCGCTTCTCCTCATCTCAGGTGGCACGCATCATTTGCAGCAGAAACCAGTGCCTAGAACAGAGTCCAGCCCTTCGTGGGTCTGCAGTCACTGCTGAAGGAATGAATTCTCCATTCAGCCTTCCCGTGGCCGGCAAACTGCGGCTCGCGAGCCACATGCGGCTCTTTGGCCCCTTGAGTGTGGCTCTTCCTAAGCCTTAGGAGTACCCTAATGAAGTTAATAACTATGTACCTACCTATATAGTTTAAGTTTTAAAAATGTGGCTCTCAAAAGAAATTTCAGTCGTTGTACTGTTGATATTTGGCTCTGTTGCCTAATGAGTTTGCCGACCACTGGCCTAGAAGTTAGCCGTCCCGTGGCGGCCCCTGCTTGCTGCTGGGGCACCCAGTCTATTTTCATCCTCTTATTGACTCCCCAGGTCTCTGGTCCTCTTAAGAGCTTGTATATTCTTTTTAACTTTTTTTTTCATAGAATTGCTAGTTATTTAGTAGGACTTAATGTGCTATTTAGTGGGGTACATAGCTCAGTCCATCACCTTGAAATCAGTCTCTTTTCCTTCTTCATGGACACTATTTCGAACGCTCCTCTCTCATATCTCTTCCCCACCATCGTATCTCTCACTCTCAGAAAATGGCTCAGTGGTGGTCAGCACTGAAGAAACCTCTTGAGTTCCTGCACTCAGACCCTAAATGTCCCTTCAACAGCTTTCCACTCTCCTGTTTCTGCCCTGAGATCACCCAACTGCCGCAGCCACTCGCCGGTTTACCTCAACGCTGTCAACCAAGTCCCTGCAGCCCAGCACCGGCCCTGTGCACACGCCCTGTGACCTTGATTTGGCTTTCCCACGCTCTCCTGGCTTGATGTCTGCCTCGGGCCACTTCTCAGTTCCTGCCCTGGGTTGTCCTCATCTTCAGTGTATTTCTCAAGGCCTCTCTCGGCCTCTTTCTTTTCCCTCCATCCGTACAGGGCATCTCCACTGCTCCTGTGGCTGCTAATGCCATCTTACAAACTGATCACTTCCAAGTAAGCTCCCAGTTGGCTCTCTCTCCTGGTCTCCAGTACCATCTAGACCAGGGGTTCTCAACCTGTGGGTCGCAACCCCTTTGGGGGTCGAACGACCCTTTCACAGGGGTCGCCTAAGACCATCGGAAAACACATATATAATTACATATTTTTTGTGATTAATCACTATGCTTTAATTATGTTCAATTTGTAACAATGAGATTGGGGGTCACCACAATATGAGGAACTGTATTAAAGGGTCGCGGCATTGTGGAAGGTTGAGAACCACTGCTCTAAACAGTCACCCACTGACATCTCTGCATCCACAGCTTGAACTGCTCTCCCCTGCCCTGTCCTTCTCCCGGGCTCACCTACCTCACTGTGTCCAAAGCCTTCGCGACCAGCCACTGCCCTCTCTCCGGCCAAGCCGAGCTCCCCAAGGGTCTCTAAGCACACGTGTCCTCCCCACCTGCCTGGCCCCTGCACATACCTCTCCCTGGGCCTGGAATGCCGGCTCCCGCAGCCCCCTCCTCTCCCTCTCACCCCCCTCAAAATAGCTTGACTAATTCCTGCTCAGCAGACATTCCTTTCAAAATTGCCTTTTGTAGAAAAGTAGACTTTTTTAAATAAGCAAAACATTGACTTTTTCCAATTGTTTTGTGTCTAGGTAAAGATATAACCAAATATCCCCCAAAATTTTAATAAACACCTGGATACATATCAAGTACATTTTCTCTTTAGACGTTAACTCTTTCCATCGCTATTTAGCTACACCTTGCCTTTGTCTTCTGCTCTCTCTGACGTCCAACAGCACGAGCCCCACACCTCACACACAGGGCCCTGGTCCGCCGTTTAAAGTGTTCCTGGGTGTCTGTGTTGCAGGCCGCCTCCTTTGCTGCTGTTGACTTAGGAGCTCACTAAGTCAGTTCTCAAGGTCAAGGAGGACTGTCTCTCCCCTGTGGCTGTGGCTTCCTGCAGTCCTGGGAACCCTGCTCATTCTCCTTTAGGCTTCGTCTTTTCTGTCTGCTGTCGCTTTAACACACTCTCTTCTAACCCAGAGGCAGTTCCTCGTGGGGATCACACTGTGGGCTCAACCTTCGCCTCCTACCTGCTGTCATAAATACATTTATTTTTCTTACCCAGATGTAGAAAACTTTCACAAGACAATATTATAAGCAATGCATTCTGGTACTTTCTCTTTTATTTCTTTTTATTGAGATGTCACAAACAGCTAACTTGATTTCACAATACAGGTACATTGATGAATCACTATCTACAGTTGGGAATCCAGTACAAGAGTTTGTTCTGCTAAATCCTCTGAGTTTTCCTCTATGTGCATTAGTTCCTCAGCAGAAAAGTCTGTGAGGTTCTTTTCGACTAAAGCTCTTCCAAAGTTTTGTCAGAAAAGTCTTTTACTTACTGAGAGGGTGTGGATTTTTTCCTCCTTAACAGTAAAAGCACGTTTTGAACATTATACGCAGTTGTTTAAGTGGTCAAGATTTCAATAAGCTGGTTAACAAATATCTGTTGATTGTCTATGTTCTGCAAAAGATAAGCTAAAAGCACGGTGTGTGTGTGTGTGTGTGTGTGTGTCTGTGTGTGTGTGTAGGAATTCCAGACTGTAGGAATTAAGTCCTTAACAAACGTTAGCTAGCGTTACGGGGTTGACCAGATGCGCACGAGGTGTGTGGGCCCCTATCCCACCTCTGGACTAGCTCCTCTGATGGGCCGTGGAGCGCCTGCTTGCGCCGGCTGAGGGCCGGGACAGTTTCCTGCCAGGACACTTCCAGGGGGGCTTCTCATCACCCCTTCCCATCCCAAGGTGCCACAGGACCAGGCGGCAACAATGGCAGGCATCAGGGCAGTGAATTAATTCTCTTATCTTGTACACACCCCTCCTCTCAGGCAAACACTGTCGTCCAAGCAACTTAGCCAGTCACTTAGGTCCCAGTCTCCACTTCACCTATCGGCCCTGGAATTCTCCTTCTGCGGGGCCTTCACAGGAACTGTCCGTGTCTCCTCTCAGTGAGCCCCTCGTGGGCCCACACATCTGTCTGTGGCTGCGGCCGGCAGGCTGACTCCCTCCGCACCGGGGTGCACGTCTCAGGAAGAACTAAGACTCAGTTCCCACCCTCAAGGAGACTAAGTGCTGAGCTGTGGGTCAGCTCCTCCTGCTCCTCTCGCCACCGCCCTCGCGGCCCCACCTGACTGAGCCGGGCCAAGCAGAAAGCCATTGGCCCCCTGCCCACAGCCCATGCTCCTTCCAGGACTTGGCGGCAAAAACTCGCCGGTAACAGACGCCACAGTGGCTGGGGGTGGAGAGGAGAGCGTGAGCCCCAGAGGAACACAAGCACCAGACGCAGAGCCCAGTGCCCCCTCCCTCTGCCCCTACCCCCACCCCACTCATGGGCCACAGCACCCCGCTCACTCGGAGCAGAAGGGAGCAGCTGCTCCTGGGGGTGGTGGGTGGCATTGTTGGTGTTGCTATTTGTGTCTCAGTTCAGTGTCCGACTGCCTGTCCCAGCTACTCTCACGGGCAGGAAAGGCCAGATTGGAGAGTCCGCGCGGCCCCCGGCTCCTGCCCCGGAGAAGAAGGTCTTGTTCTGTGTCCTTTCCCGTGGGGCTAGAAGTCCCCACCAGGAAGGGGAAGCCTGTGACCTTGGGAGGCTCCTTTCCCTTCCTCGGTTCACTTTATTCTCTAGCTCCGTGCGCCAGGGAAACCAGCACATCTGGTAAATGCACCTGCGGCGTCCCGGCCCCTGTACCACTGTGCTAAGCACTCTGTCCGTGTCACCCCCTCCACTCCTCTCAGCTGGAGAACAATGGCCGCCTCCTCCCGCGTGGCTTCTGTGCTTTTTGCTCTACGCTGGCTACGTCCACGTCCCCTGATCAGATCATCACTGCTGGGGAGACACTTCTGTCTCCAGTTCACAAAAAGACACAGTGAAAGATTGGCAGTAAGATCCTCACTACCAGCTACTGGATTAAACTGAGAAATCCAGGAAGTTTCTAGTTCTTAAATCCCAACAGTCTCACCTGGGCAGAAGGGCATAGTAGTCACATCCACCCTTTATTCAAAATAGGAGGCGGTCCCCAGGAGGGAGGGGGTGCTCACTCGTAGGGCCCCTCTGATCGTCAGCCCATTTCCCTGCTCACAGGTGCCCAGGCCCACATATTGCAGCCCAGGCTCCTTTCAAGTCCCTCACAGGCCATCCTCGCCCACCCGACCTCCCACTTCCCCGTCCACAAGAACCCTTACTCACATTTCCCCACCACCACCTTCACGCAGACATCCTCACCTGTCAGCGTGGCCCCCTCACCCCAGCGCCTGCCCTGCTCACCTGGCTCTGCTGCAGTGCCTGCTCCCACCCCCTCTGCTCAGTCCCCTGCTTAGACCGAGCTCAAACCTCAGCTCCTCTGGGAAGCTTTCTCTGGCCACGCAGCCACATGCTCTCCGGTCTCCGCTGAGCTTCTGCACCTGTGGACACTTAGCCCCGGGCAATAGCGGTCTCTCTCTCTCTCTCTCTCTCTCTCTCTCTCTCTCTCTTTCTCTCTCTTCCTCTCTCATTCTCCTCTGCACATCTTGTAGTTGCCCAAAGTCTACTTTGAACTCTTTAACCAAAACATGCTGCTTTCTGTCCACAAGGAGCATGTGCCCCTGTGACTTCATTGGTGCCTTCAGAGTCCCCTTTCCAAGGGTTGCCCCAGCCCAGAAGCAGGGATTCCTGTAGAAAATGTCTAGGCCTGGACACAAGGGTGGGGAGGGCCGGTGGGACCCCCCAGATAAGGGCCCTCCTCCGGAGACATGAAGGCAGGTAAATGGTTAACAAAGGGAGGATTTCTCTCTGATCTCCTCCTCTGCCAGGGAATTCACCTTTACCCGCTGACCTTTCTGTGAGGGTGAGATCTGAACAAAGTTGCGCACAGTCATGGATGGGTAAATACCCATCGCTCATGTGTGCCCCTGCCTCTGCCCCCTGCCTCCTCAGAGACCGTCTGAGGTATGCAGACCACCCCCTACATTACATGGCTGGTAGCAGAGGAAAGACACATGTACACACAGAAAATGAAAGTTGGACCCTCTGACCCCTTAGGAATTCAGGGCCTCAGCTTTAAAGCAAGGAGAACGGTGCACAGAGGAGGCCAAGCCATGCCAGTCCGGTCGAATCGAACAGGAGGCATTTCCGAGCATGCATAGCAGATCTTGGGCGATGTCTTCCCGTCCACTCTCTTTCTATCCCAGCCCTGCCCCAGGGACCTGCAGGCCACTGCAGTCGACATCTATACATTTACTGGCAGAGTCCCCGGCCCCAGGCTTCTCCCACCTCCCCTGACCCCCCCACATCTGTTTTATTTTGTGCAGCTCAATAGCTTGCGATTCCACCCCTCCGAGGGCTTCACTGAGTTTGGGGAGAACTGACATCCAGTTGCTTCATTTGTTTGGGATGACTGTTTCCATTCCGGGCCCCTGTACTCACGTGGCTGGCACGTCCCATCGGTCACATCTCCACTTGGATGGGTGTGGCTGGCACAGGCCTGGGGCAGTGGGGGAAGCTAAGCCTACCAGCGCCCCCGCCTCCATCTGGGCAGGGGCTGGCACTCAGAAGGCGTGGAGAGTCTTTGGTTTCATACTTTATTCATCCCATGAGCCACTAAGAGCCTAGCTGTCTAGGAGCGTACGGTTCGCGCATTTGATCGCATCTCCATGAGCCTCCTCTCAGCAGCCCAGCCACTCAGCCCCTCTGAACTTCAGGCCTGGCTTCTACACCCAAGAGGGGGGAGAAAATCTGAGGGGCTGCCCAAGATCCTGGCTCTGCCTCCACATCCTCGCTGCTCCCCGCCCTGTGCGGCAGGCGGGACTGTGGGCACGCGGGCGGCAGGCATGGGAGGAGGAGGGGAGGGAGGGATGACGGCAGTTGAACCCGGTGAGAATATGTGGACCCCTCCATGCGCTGTGCCGTGGGACAGACCACGAACACCCCCTGCCAAGCTCAGTGGTCAAACCAGATTCTGAGATGCCCCCACCACCACCACCACCACCTTCGGTCTCAGCGCTTACTGCTCTCTTAAAGGTCCGATATTTAAAGAAATATTTTATTTCCAATACAGACACAGCCCTTGATGTAGCAGTAAAAACCAGCACCCCTGAGAGGCACGTGGCTGTGAAGTGTGTTGGTATGTAACTTCCTGTCTTTGCCCACGTGCAAGCCTTCGTCCCGCTGCTCCTTCTGTCCCTGGAGAGGTGCTCCTCCCGCCGACCCCGGTGCTCAGGCGTCAGGAGGCCTTGGCGTGAGGGCGAGAGGTCAGCTCAGGCAGGAGACACTGTCCGGCGATGGGGCTGACTGGCGTGGGGTGGGAAGCGTCGCTGGGCCTCACCCAACAAGAGTTGCTTTGAGGATCTCGCTCCCCACCCCCCACTTTGGAGATGGAAGTCAAATTTTCGGATTCTGCTGTGCAGAGCAGAGAGGTCACTGGGCTCTAATGCATTTACCATTGACTGCCCCTCTTGTAGTGCGTCTATTAGTGAGTAATTTGATTTGTACCTATTCATTTGCAGTCCCTGCAGGAGCCTGGAGCTGGCCCCGCGTATAATTGGTGCTGTCTCTATTTTTACATCATTAGATTAGCCCCGACTCCCGGCCACTTGTTGTCTGCGCTTGTCTGTCCATTTATACAACCTAATGTAACACAAAATTCATTACTGATCACATTACTTTCAACTCTGAAGCCAGCCTCGTGATAAACATTTGGTTAACCCCTTCCTGCCCGCGGGAGGGCTGCGGAGCAAATGCACTTCCCCTCGGCAGGCAAATCAATATCTTAATACACCAAAGTGGAATTGCATTTCTAGATTTGTTATTCCTCCTGGAGGAGCAGATGGAAGGGCGCTCGGAGCGAGTGGAGCTGAATAATGAATAGGGCCCCGGCACCGGCAGCCAGTCTGCCCAGGAGCACAAAGGCTCCGCCGGCATCCGCCCGCGTGCTCATCGGGCCGGTGGCACCACGGCCCTTACCTGGGGCCTGTGCTTCTCTGCCCAACATAGAACATGGGTTCGAGGGCACAGGCTGGGACCCCAACGTGGGCAACAGAGACCTTACCCCCTCAAACCGCCCCCCCACACACACACACACACACCATTCTCTTTGCTAGACTTGGCCTAGGATGACTGGACCAGGAACTGGGTTTGTTTCCTTAAAACCTGCTTAACTGGTATGAAGGTACCACACACGTGGGCCTGGCACTAATGCCACCAAAAGTCAAATCCACAACTAAGCTGACGTCTGCCCTTTGGAACCAAATGCACCAAGTGCTTTCTGTGGAGAGGAGGACCGGCGATGTCAGAGCTGGTGGGTTCACACCTACTGTGTGTGTGTGTGTACCTGCTCTCGGCCCTGGCTCTGTGGGAGGGAGGCCCTGAGCAGCATGGGGCTGCCCTGGAGCTGGCCTGGCTTCTTAAAGGGACCCCCGCAGAGCTCTGTTTAGGCTAGAAGATTCTCCCCTACCCCCACCCTGGCCATCCCTCCCCAGCCCCCATTTGTCTCTGGGTAGCATCCACACCCACTCCAAGTCATTAACTCGCAGGACAGTTTGTTTCCAAAGGAAAAATACCCTGACTTATTAAGAAACTCTCATAAAGCCTGTACTACAGTAATTAGAAAAGTAGGCGTAGAGGAAGTAGAATGGAACCCATTACTATGAAAGTCATAAATCCTGGAGTAAAAAGAAGCCGTAAACAAGATACTCAGCTGGGAGTGGGAGCTGGAAAGAGCAGCCCGTCTAGGGGCCGTTCTGTTGAGCGGAGCTCCGGCCGCCTCCTGCCGGGACTGCCCCGTGGTCCCTGCTGCCCGGTCCCTGGTTCAGAGCCCAACGGGGGGGAGGGGATGGTGGCTGCAAGGTGAGATGGCAGAGGTTGGGGGGGGTGCTCGCCCCGCCCTGACTGTGGGAAGCTGCATTTCTCGGGAGGGGCTGCAGAGACTCCAGAATTAGAACCACGCGCTTGCTGTTGTGAGGAAGGACAACGGGGCACCTTGGCGGGGTGTGCTCGGTGGGAGAAGGACACTGGGGTGTCACCCAGGGGAGCCCGTGCAGCCGCTGTCTCCCCGGCACGAACTTGCTCCGTGCTGAGCCTGCAGTGGTGGCCTCAGCTGTCAGTCCTCTCAGGTGGGTCAGTGGGACAGTGGGACTGCGTCTCCCCTGGGCCCCAGCCATCAGCTCTAGAAAACAGAGCAGAGTGCGGCCGTGGCCTTTGCCGAGGAGGACAGACGGGTGACAGGGAGGCTGGTGGAATGAGAGGCTTTGATTTCTTAACCTTGATGGAAAGTGGGGAAAGCCACATCTTACCAAACTCTTCCGCTGCGTCGCAGAGAATGTAATTACGTTCGGACATTCGAATGAGAACCAGATGTGCGCTGGCCCGTGGGGCGCAGCGTCTCCTGCGGTCTGCAGGCCCCTGTGCCGTCTCGCAGCCTCGCAGCCCTCAGGCAGCTCGGCAAGACCCACCTGGGAGCTGGGTGGGGTCCCCGGAGCTTCGAGGCTGGACTTGGGAAATGGGAGGGGCAGGGCCAGCTGCCAGACACCTGGTTCCACGGGACAGTTTCCAAGCCCTGTCTCTTCTTAGCCATGCTGAGTGGGCATGTTGGTGGGGCCTCGCTGGCACCCACCCCGCCCACATGCAGACACACACACACACAGAGGTCATGCCGCAGCACCTGGCCCGGCATTTTCTCTCACCAAACACAGTGCCAGGCTGCCCAGCCTTGCATCTGCCTCAGAGGGGCGTGTGGTGCCAAGGACCTGGAGCTGGGAAGGGCATTCAGGCCTCCTGGGTGGGGAGCACCCCCCTGGGGGCCTCAGCTGCCAACACACCAGAGATGGCAAAGCTCACCTTGTAACCAGGACGCCCCAACCACCAGAGTGGTCTCTACACATGTGCCCTGCGTGTTCTGCTTCTTAAAGCCCCTTCACATCTTCTCCCCAGAGCCCCACACACCCGACGAGGCTGCCAGGCTGCCCCCGCCCCTCCTCCCCCCAGTCCCCTCCCGCCTGACCAATGAGGAAGCAGATGAGAAGTGAAGTGACAGGCCCAGGTCATTCAGCACCGCTGTCTGCACCCAACGGGGGCTCCAGTGAATCCCCTGCCTCCCGCCAAGGCCCTTCCCCTTCTGGCTGCTCCTGCATCCATCTCAGCGGTTCTCAACCTGTGGGTCACGACCCCTTTGGCGGTCAAACGACCCTTTCATAGGGGTCGCCTAAGACCATCCTGCATATCAGATATTTGCATGACGATTCATAACAGTAGCGACATTTCAGTGATGAAGTAGCAACGGAAATAATTTTATGGTTGGGTCACAACATGAGGAACTGTATTTAAAGGGCCAGAAGATTGAGAACCACTGATCTGGCTGATCGTAAGCATGGCTTCAGCCAGACTTATCAAATGCCTCAAACCCAGGGAAACGCCAGCCAGGCCTGCGCAGCCTCTGCTCTCCTGCACGTAATGTGCTGTGACAGGGCGCACTCTGTCTTGGTCAGGACATGGAGTCATCCTGAGGGAGGGGCCCCGAGAGGTCACTGCACAGGCTGCTGGTCCCGGCTGCCCGGTGGGTGATCCTGTCCCTTCTCCTTTGAAGCCAGGACCGGGAGGACCTGAGTAACGTGGGTCTCCTGGGAGTGGGGGTGGCAGCATTTCTGTGCGAGTCTTTCCCTGCCAGGGACGGTGTCACTTCGTAGCTGTTGTAGGAGGGACCTGGGAAATGCTTTCAGCTCCTAACGAGACCAGTGTCCCCTCCCACTGATGCCCTGCCTGTGGGCATTGCCTGTCAGTTGGTCAAAGGCTATGCAGGAATTGAGCTGGACTGTGAGTTGCTCTGCTCCTACCCCCAACACACACACACACACACACACACACACACAGCCAGATCCAGTGGAAGACAGGTGGGGGCCAGGGCAGGCCATGGGGTCTTGGCTTCATTCTGTGACGTTCTGGGTCTCCGTGCCTGTTGGGGTCAGGAACAAGAGCTGGGCAAGGAGGAAAGAAAGCATGTTTGTGGGAGCCCTGGGGGTCGAAAGAGGCTCCGGCCGGCAGGAAGGGGCGTGCCCACGGCACCGGGGCCAGGCTGCGTGCGGGGAGAAGG